AGGTACGAATACACGTGTTTTTGTTGGACGATAGATAGGTAATTTGAGGACAAAAGCTGGTGGAAAAACAATTTTTTTTAAACAAACTAGTGCAGACATTGTTCGGTAATTTCTGCTACATTACGTGGCGACGAACTAAACACATGTTTTATCCAAAAGGAGCACTTTCTAATAATGCAGATGAAATTGAGGCAAAAACTATTAGAGCTTTTCAAAAGCAAAAGATAAGTGGACGTTTGGACAAAAGATGTGTAAAATTTCAAAATAGGGTGAAATTTTTTTTTTTCAAGAGAAAATGATATTTGAAATTTAGAGTTGTGTTCGGACATGAATATAATTTTGGGTTATTTTTGAAGTTTTGTAAGTGATTTTAGTAAAAAATTTGATGCAATATTCTTTGAAGATCAGACTATTGAAGATATTGACAAAGCTGAGAAGATAGATTCTCAGAGTAATGAGAGCTTAGTTGATATTGATCCAGTTTCAATATAACTTTTTGGAGTTTTTTAAATTTTTAAAAATTTTCAGTATGCATTTTCAAGTGAAAATTAAAATTTTCTTGAACAAAAGTTAATTTCGTACAAATATGAAATTCTTTTTTATGTCCAACGGGCTCTAAAGTCTTCAACACTACAAGAATTTCTCCTTACTACATGTCCCATCTGGTTGATACTTTTGAGAAGTAGTGGACCGTTGGAGGGGAAAAAAAGGAGAAGAAAAACAGAGAAAGAAGGGGTATCACGTGACAAGTGTCATTCCTATTCAGGCCATATTATCTCATGCTTATCTAATTAAAATTATGTTTCATAAATTCAGCTTGTTTATTTAAATATGATTATATCAAATAATAAAGGGCATGAAATACTTGCCTACCTAAGAGTCTACTCGAGCTATTACTGTTCTAAAATATTTACTTTTATGTATAATTGATCGACGTGGGAAATTACCAGCTATGTCCATTTATAAGTAGCTTATTATAAAAATTGGTCATTGATAAAATATTACTAATATTAGCCAAATTAGCCAATTAGCTATTTGTAGCAAAAAACATATCAAATCTTTGCTTTGTTTTGAGTGGGTGTTATTAGAATAGATTGGGCACAACTTAAGGAGCTTGAATCTCAGTTTTGGGATGATTTGGTGAAGTTTCGAGGTGGTTTGAATTGAAAATTCGAAGTAAAAGCTGAACATGAAAAGAAAAAAAAATGATATGTGTATCACACTATGTATCATTTGTGTATCACATATGTATCATATTTGTATCAATTGTGTATCACATGTATATCCATGTATACCTGTGTGTGAGATACATAGTGATACATGTGTCGCAGAAGACTTTTTTGAACTCGATTTAATTATGAATTTTGATACAAGACCACTCCAAATCACCTCCAATCTTCCTCAAATTTTGTATATTGACTTATCTATATATTTTCAATGAATTTCAACTATACCCATTGAAAAAGTTCCTTTTTTGTTTAGATTTTTGGAATATTTGTATAGATTTTTGTATTTTATCACCTTATTTGCTACCCCGTCCATGAAATTTCTTTTCCGTCTTGTATCTAATGTTGCTAATCACACTTAAAAATATGGAAGGTGATTTTTGCATGTGATTCTTTGAGAGAAAGAACCCTATTATTTGGTTTTTCAATTTTTGTTGGCTAGTTTTGGTAAGTTTATGACTAATGGCTAGAGGTTGGTAAGTTGAGATTTATTTGGGACATTTGTGCAAGTTTCCCGTTATGGTGTTAGTTACATAAATAACCGGCCGAATTTTTTTAACTTTTTTTTAACTGTTATACATGTATTATGTACTAATGATATATATTATTATATATCCGCGGGATATTTTAGTTTATGCAATTGAGTGGGTGGCTATTTTGGGTTAATCCTTCTTAATTTTCCAATTATATTGGGGTAGAAATGACACCATGTAGCCACTTTAAAGAGCTGCTATTTAGGAATTAGCCAATGTATCCTGAATTTCAGTTTTTCAGTTTATTTTTCAGGACAAAAATATCCTGAATTGTTCTGAAGTTAAGACTTTTAGTTTAAAATTTCAGGATAAAATAAGTACTGGCTAATCTCTAAATAGCATCTCTAAAAATGACTATTTGTGCACTTGCCCCTAGATTAGGTAATTTCGTTTGCTAACTCTTTTTCAGCCCAAATATGGGCCGTTCCCGCTTTTAAGGACTTGCTGGACTAGCTAGAAAGAAGGAAGAAACGGGGATTTTTACCTAGCTATACTATATTATAGACTTATTTACCTATGTTCTGTATGTTTTGTAGTTTTTAATAGAGAAATTTTCATAAAGCACTATCTTTTAGTGGTAATTAGCTATCTATAGATACCATTTGCTATATTACGGATTGTAGATACCTTTTCTGTTGTTATAACATGTATTAGATGTATTTAAGCTATTGTGTTAATGAATACAGTAGCAAAAATAGTCGTGAATCAGGGAAGTCCAGCTAATCAGTTGTTGTATTCGACTGTATTCATGGCGTGAAATATGGGATTACAGCTGGACAGATTATTGTATTCGACTGTATTCACGGTGTGAAACTAGGGGATTACACTGTTTTTAAACGGAAAGTGAATCAATTAACATAATAGACTCCTAATATAACTCAACAAACTCAATTATAACACACAAATTTTGTATTTCGTTGTATAAAAAAGATTCTCAACCGAAAAATACCCCCAAAACATAGCAATCTTCAGAGAAATTATATAATACATCCGAATACATAAATTGTATTAATTAAAAAAAGCATATGAATACATTCATGGCATATAGCGAGACAATGAATACAATGAAATACATAGAATACAACGGGATACAATAAAATACAATGAAAAAAAAACAGCGAATACAATGAAATACACGGAATACAACGAGATACATTGAATTACAATGAGAAAAAAGACAATGAATACAATGAAATACATGAAATACAACGTGATACATTGAAAAATACATTGAAATATATTAACAGAAAGTCAAGTTGCTCAGCCCCAAACTCCGTTGTCTTTGTTAAAAAACAAACCCTAATTTCTGGCGAATCCGCCGTCGAGCAAAAACCCTGAATCTCACTGTTCCAACGCATCCTGTACAGTAGTCGAGCTATAGGAGGTAAAAATTCCTTAAAAGAAACTAGGCCTTGTGTATTAAAAATAGGTTCTTCCCTGCTATATGTGAATACTGTCGCAAAACATAGCTTAGAAAAGCCATCAAAAGCTACCATTTTCCGCCAAATACAAAGTTCTTTCTCTCATACTATTGAAGGAAACCAATAAATACTTTCTCTCGGATCATCCTTTTCAGAATACATAAAAGTTAGTTAGGGTTCCGATAGAGTGAAGGATGGCGGAACCGGCGAGTCCAGGCGGCGGCGGCGGCGGAAGCCATGAGAGTGGCGGCGAGCGGAGCCCTCAGTCGTGTTTTCAAGGAATGGGGGAAGTGAATGGCATGTATCAAAGTAGAGAGAGAAAGAAAATAGTGTAACTGAATAACGTATTTAGTGACTTAGGGGTAGGAGGTAACCAAAATTAGACATTTTGCTATAAACATTAAAAGGTATCTATATAATATAATTTTTTTAAATGGTATTTATTTAAAATAAATAAGGTGTTAACCTTTTCTATAGGAGGTAAAAATTCCTTTTTAATAAGTATCTAGCTTTTTCTTACAAATTGTATACATTTCTCCTTAAAAGGCTCCCACCTCCATTATTAGTGATTCAATTACATCCTTTCCTTTTTGTTCCCTTTCCCCTCTCTCTCTCTCTCTCTCTCTCTCTCTCTTTCTTTCTCTCTCTCTCTCTCTCTCTCTCTCTCTCTCTCTATCTCTCTATTCACATCAAATCCCTTAATCTAAGCCAAAAATCTCCATATTCTCTCTTCCCACTATTACTACTGACAACTTTATATTATTAAAAAATCGTCAATTGTATTGTTCTTTTGCTGGAGACTGGACAACACTCAAAATGAAAAAAATATTCAGGAGTTGTATGATAATTGTATAATAATTGTATTTGACTTGTATCAGATACATCAATCCTAAAACATAATTGTATCACAATTGTATCTAACTTGTATCTGGTACATTAATATCCAAAATAATACCCGATACAATACTAATAAATTAATATACAATTATCATATATTTGCAATAAAAACTATGAAATTCATCACGAATTCACAATTGCTCGTAACAATATATAATGAATATACAATTATCGTACATTTGTAATACAATTCTTTCAACAATTATGATACATATACAATTATAATACAACCGCGATACATTTCTGAAAAATTATGATACAATTATGATCTTCATCTTCTTCAAGTTTCAATCACACCTCTACACTAAAAATCTAATATACTCGTATTATAATTGTATTAGTATTATATCGAGTATTTTTTGAGGTATTGATGTATCATATACAAGTCATATACAATAAATATTGTAGAAAGAAAGAAAAAAATATTCAAAACTTACCCACAACTCGATTCTAGAGCAATATTCCGAATTTTGTCTGCAGTGTATCAATAAGGAATAGAGATTTTGGGTGATTAGTAAGAAAGAGAGAGACTGGGTTTGAAACTATTTGGAAAAGGAAGAAAAACAGAAATTTGGAGAGGGGGGGGGGGGTTATAAAAATATAAGAGAGATTTTGGATGATTATTAAGAAAGAGATAAAAAGAGAAACAAAATCTTAACTCAAAGGCTAAAATTAAGGGATCTTGAATTTTCTTTCTTTTTTATGGTTTTGTATATAACTTGTAAATGTAGACATACAAAGTAATTAATAAAGATACTAAATAAATGTGGTAAATAGATTTCCATTATAGTATAGCTAGCTAAAAAGGTCGAAGAAATGTACTCGGTATTAGCGTTCACAAAGCCCACGTTAAAAGCAGTTGAAGGCCCAGTAATTGGATGAAAGCCCAAAGCCCATCTATATATATCAAATTGGAGGGAAAACATTCAATTACAACATTTTCCTGGCTTCTTCTGTACTCCTCAGCCTCAGGTTTCAGCATTCTTTCGATTCTTTTGCAAGTCTTCCTTTCTAATTCTGTATACTCTTAATTCTTTTCATCTCCCTTCCATGTTTTTTCTTATAATTTATGTAACTATTTATCGTATATTCATTCATGAAATTGTATTCAGATTCTTGTCGTCTCATTACAAATTCCAAACGCCATAGACTCGATTGTTCTCTTCTTCCATGCAAGAAACCTAGGTCAAATGTGTTAAATACAGCTTATTTACAAATAAAACCTCTTGGAATTCCTCTAATCCGAAAAAGTACTGGTTCTTCCTGTGATACTATACATCTTCAACCCTATAAGCCATACTCTATTGGTCGTAATTGCAGCCGCTGTGATTTCATATTTGAAGACTGTCGAGTCAGTAATATTCATCTCCAGATTCTTTTTAACCCCTTGAACAATAAATTGTACTTGTCTGACGGGTTATTTTTTAGTTCAAGTAATTCTAGGGTTTCGCTGAATGGGGTGTTTGTTAATGGGGTTAGAGTTGCAAAAGGCGAGGTTGTGGATATCTGTGTCGGTGATGAAGTTTCACTTGGCTGTGGAAGTCAAAGGACCTGTTGTATGGGGTTACGGCTAGGATTTTGTTTGCAAAAGGCTGTCTTTGTTCAGGAGGTTTTTGATAGAAATATAGTTGGAGATAATGATGTTACACCCACAGATTGTGTTCCAATTGGATATGCAAGTTATAAGCGTATTGCTAAAGCAAATGTGTTGTTACATATGTGTAGGGAGGTATTAAGTAGCAATCATCCTGTGTCGTGTATCCAAAAACGTGTTATTCTTGATTATGGAAAGGGAGTTAGATGTCATGGTAAAATTGGAGTCAATGAGGATTTTAAGTTTCCAGTGGCTAGTGTTCTTGGAGTACATTCTGGTGAAAAAGCTTGTAGGAAAGAGGTATCGATTGTTGAGGATGCACCTGGCCAGAATCGGGAATGTGATTTCCCCAATGATGCTGCACTTGCTATTGAGGTGGAAACATGTAATCTCGATGGGAAGGGTGCAGAACAAGTCAATAACGATGGGGCATCTCATGAGAATGGGTCTGACGCTAATGGCAGAGAAGAAGTTTTATCTCTGGGATGTATGAGGAAGGAGGTTGTTGGTCAAATTGATGATGCCATGAAAGAAAAGAATAGAATTGGCATTGTTCCACCTCCAGGAAAGAAGTTCGTTTTGAATCGACTGGCATGTGAAGGGCCAAAATTTTCAGAAGATCCTAATGTTGTATCATTGCCAGAGCTTCTTTATCCAATTGAGAATCTTGAACAGCTATTTATTGCAACATTTACTGCTGACATACCATGGTAGGTCAGACTTGTTTGGTTGCATTTTTATTAGCTTCTGTTTTATTACTTTCCTAAAAGCTGGACATTCTTGAAAGGTAACTAACAATTCTAAAATGGCCTTATGAAAAAACTGAAGATTCACTAATAAAGTCAAGATAGTCAATTACATAGTTCAAAATGTCTTTTGTCCGGACTATATGTAGCTTTTGTGCTTTTATTTTATTCTGAATGGATTTTTTCTTATAGGTTTCTGTCCTACTGTGAGATTCCAACTGATCTACCAGTTACCATCGCTTGCCACAATGCTGAACGGTGTTGGAGTTCCAGCTCTGATAAAAGAACCTCAAAGCCTTACCCAGATTTTCCAAACCTAGTTGTTGTGTAAGTTGACATATTTCCCCCCTTTTCACTCTGTTTTGCCAAATGGTCACGAGCATGTACTAGAAATGGTTGATTTTCTCAATTTGCTTTGGAATGGAACAATGATCAACTTTTTGATCAAGTGAATTCATGGTAACAGTTACCCTCCATTTCCTGAGGTGATAGCATTTGGTCAAGACCTGAGGAAATCAGGCATTGGTTGCCATCACCCAAAGTTGCTTGTGTTGCAAAGAAGAGATAGTCTCCGCGTAGTGGTCACATCTGCTAATTTGGTGGCAGGACAGGTGCTTGTTTAATCACCTTTCTCTCTCTTGTCTTGTATGAAGTTCATTTTCTCTCTCTGGATCATTTTTAAAATTATATTCATTAATTTGTGAAGTTGAAAGAAACACGTTTCCTTTCTGGAATCATGCACTGAACTATTAATTTTTTTTCTCTTCGTGTTTCCCATGTCCTCAGTATGCTTATTAATCTTGATAACCTGTGAAAAATTTGAGAAAAGGAAAAGAGGACAAGATTGTGGTGCTCGCAGTAAGGTTGGATGCTAAATGTTTGCCTGATAGAGCATATAGAATTTTTTTGACACCTGCAACGTCGTGTTTTGCTGCAAGTAGAAGTTAAGTGTCCATGAGATATTCTTGTGAACAAGAAAAAAGTAGATTAGACATGGTCCTCAACTTTGAAGAGGAGTAATCAGGATTTCTCATGATCCATCCCTTATGAGGTTTAAAGTAGTAGGTTAGAAGGACCCAATATTTTATATGAATTTGTTAATCATCTATCCGTTAGTACTAAGAACTGTTTCTGTCCAGATGTATTAATGTTGTCTGCTCCTCAAATGCTGCAGTGGTGCAGAGTGACGAATACAATATGGTGGCAGGATTTTCCTCGCCTGGATGTACCAGACTACTTCTCACTTTTCACAGCAATATCTGGAGAGGAAAATGGACATTTGGTATCTGATTTTGCTGCTCAGCTAGCTGGATTTATGGCCTCCTTGGTAGCTGATGTACCTAGTCAGGCCCATTGGATCCTGGAGCTGACAAACTATGATTTTAAAGAAAGTGATGGCTATCTGGTCGCTTCTGTACCTGGAATCCACTCAAGTCGCATTCCTTTTATATCAAAACCAAAACATTTCTTAGGGGTCAGTAACCTCTGTCCTTGTGAATTCGTGGTGTCATGCCTGCTACAGTTGCCTATTCGAACGGTTATTTTCAGTCAAACTGAGGATATTTTCCTAGTGTTGCATTGGATTCTAAAGGAATTACCTGTTTGTTGTATAAAAGAAAAGATAAAAGCCTCAGTACAGTGATCTGTCAGCTTGCACCTAATTTAGACTACACTTTGTGGTGTTATCAAACAGTACCAGTAAGAGAAAATATTGCAAATAGAAGTGCAAGGGAAAAAGATGCACTTACATATCTATGCACATCAATATGGAAATGAAATTAAGAAATTCAATTACTGATGCTTTTGCTTGAATGGCAATAAAATCTCTTTTCTTTTCCCCCAAAAATGATGTAAAGGTTTGTGCTGCCGCATTCACCCAGACATGGTTCTGTGACTGTTCGGTTCTAGCTTTTGTAGGAATTCTGGTGAAAGAACAAGTTGAAAGTACATCTTAAGGCTGAGATTTGAGAAATATGAAGTATCTCAAATAAAGAGTTGTTACAAAAAAATCTGTAGAAAGAGGGGTAGTTTTCTCATCTGCCTTGGGGAATGACCAGATATTTGTAGAGTTGTCTGAGTTTCTCAGCTATATATTCCCTCCCGACAATTGTGTTAAGACTTTACTTGTTCTATTATCTTAAATTTGGAACAGCTCCCTGTTGATTGAGGGTGAAAAAGGTATTTATTTGAAGATTATCTAAATAATCCCACCCATTACATTCTGATTTTATGTTAAGAAGATGTATCTGCCAGTTGTCTGAGTAAATCCACCCTTAAAATTCTAATAATAGGAGGCTTAAGGTCTGTTCTTGTGGGTTTTCATATCTGATGAGCTGTGCAGCTTTGTGAATACCCTCTTTTATATGGTCAAATAGTTGTGTATTCTTTCATTGTTTTCTCTCTTTTTTCACTTCTATCCAACATTCCTGCAATTCGCACGCTTTCATTAGTTTTGGGAACATAAATCAATACTTTCGGACTAAAACAAAAGTAAAAAGGTACTACTAAGTGGTCAAAATCTACACTTATCACTTAGTAAGGGACAGCCTGGAGGCATTTTCTTGGGGGTGTGGTTGGTAATGTTGAGGTTTGAAGTGTACTACTACTACTGCTGTAGGGTGACTGTGTGCCAGAGTTATGTCACTTTAAGTCAGTGGGTTCTGTTGAAGCATCAGTGGCTGGTCTAAGTCATCTCTTCCGTACTTCAGTGGATCTTAATGGAGCACGGCTGAAGAAACTTGCAAGTTACCTTCGGAAATGCGGTGAAAATGTATATGGAATATCAGAGGTTATTCTAAAGAGAGACCCAAATATACAAGCCGATGCAAATGCTGTTAGCATTCTTGTACCTAATCCTGACAATCTCTCTTTAGAGGGTAAATTACTTTCCACTTCAAATATACATATTTGAACTATAATCTATAATATCTGTATTGAAATGTAATGATAAGTCTCTTTAGTCTTTACTAGGGTCAGTTTGATTTGATGCATTTTCAGACTCCTTAATTAGAGGAGAGTTTACTATAAATGCCAGTGGTGGTGGCTGTGACATACTAATGGTCATAGCAGCTTGGAAGATGAAATCGTAATCACTCAACATTATGATAACAGTAATAAGAGCTGAATTTTGTATTTTACTTAATCCCAATGAAAAGGAGCTCAGTCTTGTTCTCGTTAACATCTTACTTTTTTGTCCACTTTGTAAGAGTGGCAGACTATTAAATCATATACTAATATAAGTATGCATGAATATTCATTTGCTATCTTCTGTTTGCCAAAATTATTCTTCTTTTTATTCATTTTGAACCAATTCTTTTGCTTTATTGTGTGCTAGAATGTGTTCAACTTGGGTTTCTTCCAAAGAATTTTGCGAAGTGGGTTGCTCCACTCTCGGACAGTGGTCTTTTCGTGTTTTCTGCTTATATTTTCCCAAGTGAAGTTCTTAGTGCTGCTTTAGAGGGAAGCAGCAGCAAGGTACAGTTAGTACTGCATGTATCACAGGTATGCCTACCACTAGTATGATTCATCTGTGACAATGCTGTTGAACATATTTGTCTTGTGTCTAGTAGTCATATTGAGATCATAACCTTGCAGGGTCCATCCTTTTCAGCCATTTCAGAAATTATTAGAGGTGAACATGTTTCTGCAATTTGCACACTCATTGCATCGCTTCAGAGGTGTTGGGGAATCTGGCGGCTTCAAGAGGTAATTTTTCTGAAACAGTTGGACGTATTTTTCAAACCTAAACTGATTTTCATTTTGGTGCAATTAAGAATAATGACTATGTCTTGGGCCTGTGGACTACTAGTCACCGTTTTTTGGTGTCAGACCATAGAATTCTCAGCTGTGGGGTAATGGGCACTGCGTTTCAGCTGTGGCAAATTCTTACCTTTAAGAGCCATGCTTTGTACACCTATCATGTTGTCAGCCTAAAAACAGATAGAAGACTTGATATATCTACAGTAATACAGGCCATTATTCTCAGTTGTATTTGAGCGTAGCAATTGTGTAGACCTCAATCAAAGTTAAGAGTGTAAAACAATTATGATTAACTTTACTAAACAGAATATTTTCTGTGTACATCATCTTGTTCTGTTTGGACCATGGTTTGATTCAAGTGATGGTTTACCTTGGATAGCACGGTCTAAGAGCTTATGGGGCTTAGACACAAAATAGCCAATTTTATTCTTAATGCATTATCCATCACTTTTACCAATTTTTCGAGAAAGCCAATTTTATTCTTAATGCATTGTCCATCGCTTTCACAATCTTTTCAAATTTTTTTCGAACTATCTTGTGGTTCCTGAGTGAGATTGATGCTAAGGTGATATCTAGCCTTGGTTGATAGAGTTACGTGGTACCTATGTTGGTGGAGGTAGCAGGTACCTGGTGGAGTCGAGGTGCGCGCAAGTGACCCGGACACCACCGTTATTAAGGAAAAAAGAGCAGTAGCTTCTTGGTTACTGGAGCACTACCAAGAAGCATGCAAAAGAGTCATAGTACTGATTCAAAATGTATGTTATGTGTAAGTTGGAACCAAGCAGCCAGAGCATAAAGTTCGACAGACTTCATTTTTCTGATAAATGACATTTTTATTTATAACAGTTACTGGAATCCTGACCTTTTTCCTTCCATTGCACCTTGTTCAGGTTTTGGGCCAGTTCAAATGGCCAGAACATTTAGAAACTGATTTTGTATTTGGTGAGTGTTCTATGACTACTTGATGATTATCATGCTGCCTTTCAAAATATATTGAGAATTATCATTTATGATTATTGTTTCCATTCTGTTAAGGTGCATCCTCAATTGGGTCCATCAATGCAAAATTTTTAGCTGCATTTTCAGCAGCAGGCGGGAAGCGGTCATTGAGGCTCTCTGAATCAGAGGAATCTGATCCAGATGTGAGTAGTTACCACTAAATTTTATGATTTAGCTGAGTAGTATATTATTGCTAGGTTCAAGTTTTGCCTTACTTTTTCTGGCAGTGGGGCTGCTGGAGTGTGAGCCAAGAGCTGAGGAACCCTTCCATTAGAATAATTTTTCCTACCATTGAAAGAGTGAAAAATGCGAGCAGTGGAATTTTGGCATCCAGGCGTATACTGTGCTTTTCACAGGTAGATTAATTTGATCTCTCCTTTAATTCTTGAAAAATATTTGTCCTTGAGTGTTTTTTTTTTAAAATAAAAAAACTGACTGTTTGACGACTGGAAGAATGGGTTCCCTCTTTCTTATCAAGTTATTGAGCAATCATTTACTGCAATTTAACTAAAATGTTTTGCCCAATATTTTGTTTCTCAGAAAACTTGGTATCGGTTGAAAACTATGGGCATTCTACATGATGCGGTTCCTTTTCCTGGCTACAGAATTGGTTATCCCATGCATGTCAAGGTAAAAGCTGTCAGAACATAGTTGCATAAGTCTTCTACTACATGGTCTGACATTTAATTTTGTTAAGTCTTATGATAAGGGTTCTTATCAAAACTCGGTGTCTGCTTTAACATGCTATGTGATGAGTTGAGTACAGATAGTGTTTGCCTCTGTTTTAACAATGTGGATATCAGTTACTGTTCTATGCAAATGATCCAATTTGCTGCTTCACTATATGATGTTGCTGCTTTGCAGATAAATTCCTTTGAGATATAGAACTGAGTTAATTTGTTTCATGCCCAACTTTTAGATTGCTTTTGGAGGTCATAAGCTTTTATTTGCTCGTCTCTCGTGTGATTTTCTTGGAAAATCCTGACGCTAATTGCATTCATAACTCTCCTTTAGTGATTTTATTGCCTTATGGAGGGTCATGTGCCATCACCGATTTTCTACGTGATGTTTATGCTGATCTTATCTTGTCTACTCTGTTAACCTGCTTTGTTTTTTTCTGGAACAAATGGACATGTCCTTCATCAGAAGACTTGTTAGTTTTCCATATTTTTGGTTTTTACAGCAGTGGACACTAATTACTTAGATTTGAGCAAAATATTTTTGAGTGCTTTTCTTTACATGCTAATCATCATCTGTCAGACTGTCATACCTTTGATTGCTCTCTCTCGCTCTCTCCCTTCATTTCTCTGGTTGAACAGTGTCAAAGTACGACTTAGATAATGAGTTCTAATTCATGTTCAGTATCTCACTTAGAAGTCCTAATGACAAAAGAAAATGTATGAGGTGAGCAGGTTGCTCGAAGAAGATTTCAGTCTAAGAAAGATGCGTCCCCCTTCGGATGGGTTTATTGTGGATCACACAACTTCAGTGAAGCTGCATGGGGACGTCCAGTTTCTGGTTTACATGACAAGAAAATCAATGGAAATACAACTTATTCTAGTTTAGGTTCTAGACTTCATGTCTCTAACTATGAACTGGGTATCTTATTCATTACTCCCCCTCCAGATGCTCAGTGCAAAACAGACCAAAAGACGAACTTAGATGATATAGTTTTACCCTTCATTGTGCCTGCACCAAAATATAGACCAGCAGACAAACCTGCTACCGCTCAGGAGATGAGGGAGGCCTTATTTGAGCAAACTGAGAGGGGGAGAGAGGTAAATGAAGAAACAAAAGAGGCGGACGAGTGGATACAGGAAGAGATACCTGTGGAGGAAGAGGAAGTAATTGAGGCTATTGACTATGTTGTTAAGGAGAGAGAAGATGACAAGGCTTATGCGGAGAAACTATGGAATCAAGTTGATTCCTCTGAGAACTGTTAGAAATTAATAGGAAAACACATTCAAGTAGAATAATGTAGGAGTAGATATACTGAGACTACCTTTCTAAATTTGGTACAAATGATTAATTTAGGGGGTCCGGCATTCGTGTGGTTTCAAAATGTTGTATGATTGTAGCCGAAAAGAAGAGTCTTTTGTTTTATAGAAATATAGTTTCGATGATTTGGTGATAATGTATGTATCATTGTAATTTGTAAAGGTAAAGGACAATGTACAAGTCATTTATGATCAAGAAATAAGAATCTCGTGGAAGATGAGAAGCAGCTTCTTTCTTTTGATTGTTCTCCCATTGACTTTGGGTTGTCAAATAAAATATGGCACATTGCTTCGTTAGGTTTGATCCTCCAGAACTCGTCAATTTTCAGTAACATAAAAAACGTGGAGATGTTTTATATGACTAGTGTTTTTAGCTTCTTGAAATGGTTCGCTACAGTTGACTTTCAGCACCAGTGATATAGTATAAGAAACAAACTCCAATTTTGGTTGCTTTCCTTATTGATCAAAAGAAATGAATAGGAAAAGGACATCCTTGTGGCAAGCGAGTGGAATGGTCTAATACGTAAAGGAATTTCGGCAAGTCGAACAGGGTTACCCGTAAAACAATACTTTTTAATGCATATGTGGTTACAGACAAACAAATCGATTTAATCCCAAAATAATAAATTAAATAAAAATGTAAGACTTAGCGTTGACATCGTGATAAGATATAGCAGATAGCTTGGTTTCGGGAGCAGGGCTTCGGAAGGCAACAATGATACCAATAAACAAGGAATAAAGAGTTATTGAGCTTAGAATAATGTTTAACATAGGTTTGTCAGAAAATTCACCTCCTTACATTGGCGGTTCAAATCACTATTTATAACTGCACATGGGGAACAAGGTTGTACGTCCAAGTCACTCTTAAATGACAATAATGGGGCCAATGGAGAATGTGTAACAACAGGCTATGAATGCCATATTCTCTATAACAGATTATGTATTTAATATTACAGAATATTCTTCATTGAATGCTATCGGGTGGCAAGCGTTTATTTATCTTAATGAGTAACATTCCCTTCGGGGGCTTCCCGATGCCAACCAAGGCTGCTGCCCCCGCTCTTGATTTCGACCTGTCTCGTTTTTTATCTGTTTCCGGTTCCATGTGTCGCTCTATTATGCGAGTATTTAATATGAACAGGTTTTATCCTATACAGATAGTCCCATGCTTTTCGGTGGCACATCCTTGTGTCATCGGGAAGTTGACAGAGATACCTTTCTTGGCGGAAAATTCTTTGATCCCCTCTGAAAAGTTTTTGACGCTTGATTAGACGTACCCTCTCTGCATTTAATGCCCCAAAAACGTGTTATCTCATGATTTAGCAACACTTTGGCCGGCTCTCGAGGTAATCATGACCACGATTTTAGCCGCATATTCCATTACTTATACGCTTCGTCCTTATTCTTTTACACTTCATAGTTTTTCAAAGCTCTTTCAACTTTCCTTACTTTACTCTCTCTTGCTTTCAATTTTCTTTAACCTTCTTCTTTAGAGAAACTCTTACTTCCTTCTGCTAATTATGGCCTCTTCCAAGAACTCCAACTCTTCAAAGAAAAGGAACGCAATGATGATGCTGTTCCTCCTACGGTGAGCACCATTATCCCCAAAAAGCTTAGTACAATCAAGGACTTTGAAGATAAGTTCCCTTTCTTCTAACTCTCGCACATGGGCTGTTGCTGTATACCCTTCTTCCATCCGTCCTTCTAGCATCGCTGCTTTGAAGGAAGACTGCAGTTGTCATGGTTTGAACATCATCGCTCCCGATCTAGCAGAGCAGGTAACCTTCCCTAAGAAAGGTTTTACGTACGTTTACACGTACTCCTTCACTTTGGGACCGTTCTCATTGAGCGGGGGACTTGACTCCGTAATCTTAGAGTTTTACTTCCGCTATCAAGTCTGCTTGGCATATCCCTTCCGTGTGGCGGACGATAGCCCGTCTTCGGCGGTTATGCCAGGTTACGGGGGAGGAGCTCTCCCTGGCTCAATTGATGAACCTTTATTCCCCTAAGATTCTCCGCGGGGTAATGATAAACGCAGACATGGTCACCATGCTTTGCTCACCAGTATGGATGACGACAACGACTGTGGATGGATGGAGCGGTTCGTTGCAGTTGCCACCTGGGATATCATCTCGGCCACAACTCCATCCTTTCCCGAATCATGGAATCGTGCACGTAAGTTCAACATCTGTCTTTTCTCTTATTAAAGATTGCTTCATGCTGTTACTGATCCTTCTCTTCTCATTATTTCAGCAACTCGGTGGACACCACCAAGGGTTAAAGGCTTGGACCAATGGGTCCAGAAGATTTTGGATGTTACTACGCCTGAGACCCGCCGATGGAAAGAGCTGGCCCTCAAATATGGGTGGAAGGCCAAAAATCACGGTAAGTTGATTCTCGAGCTCATCTTGTTTTTATCTCACATATAAGAAAACTGGCTAACTTTTTATTTTGTTGAATTCAAGTCTTCCACAAGGCTCCGTTGCCGTCCTCGAGGAGGACGTTTTGGCTGATCCTGTAGATGCGGCGAGGTTGCTGCAGGAGGCCTTTACCCGAACGGGTGTCGTCGGACCTGCTTCTGGTGTTGGTGCTTCCTCTCGGAGTCCCGGCCGGAGTACAAGCAACAAAAAAGGCGACGTTCCTCTACGGTCGAGGGTAAAAATAAAAAGGTGAAAAACGCCATGCCCGAGCCAGCCGCAAACACTGTGGTGATCGATGACGATGAGGGAGCCAGTGATGAAGGGGCTTCCCTACATAGAAGACGACGACCTTCATCAGCTCAATCTAGTGAGCTAGCTATACCAACTGAGGTCGATGTCCAGGCGCTCTGGGAAGAGAGTGATACAGTAGAAGATGCCAACTCTCGCTTTCGGGCCCCAGCCGCTTCCCCTAGTACCGTGAGGCTGGGTACCGGGCCTTTTCTGTCTTCGGTTGACGAGCAATTAATAATTAGCAACTGCTTTTGCCGCAACTGCTTCTCAACCTACAATGCCATCAACTTCATATCCTTCTTCGCCAGTCATGCCTTCTCCTCCAGCAACTGCTACATCATCTCCACCGGCCGCAGAAATCCGAGAGGAGGATGTCCCTCTTCCCCAGTCCCCAGTCCATGGGAATTTGGGGCATAACTACTCGCCCCCTCCTAAGATCCTCAGAGGAGGAGGAGCATTTACCTCTCGGTCTCTACTAGGTGCCATCTATTGTCTCGGCCGGTGGAACTTGCTAATTACTTGAAGCCTCTGGCTTTAGAGAAATATAAGAATAAAATACATTCTCTCTCGGGTGAATGTATGATAAATAATGCTATGCACAACTCAACAGCAGTACGATGTTTGTTTCCTCTACTGTTTATTCTAGCTTTAGTATGACACGACTTTTGATTTGAACTTTTGCTTTTGCAGGCTAACTTTCTTGCTTCCGTGGGCCTTCGAAAGTTGATCCTTGATAAAGAGAAACTTACATCCGAGCGGGATAAACTGTTGGCCGAGCGGGATCAAATTGCTGCTTACCTCCCTGCACTGAGCACACGCTGCCGAGGCCGTTGAGTTGGAGGTTTGGTTGCAGCAAAGCGAGCAAGAGGTGGTGATCCTCAGCCAAGCGACCACCCTGTTAAGGGTACAATTTCAAGAGGCCAAGGCAAAGTGGGCCGAGGTCCAAAATGCTGTTCTTGCTGCTGCCGATCGCGAGGCTGCCTCTGCTGAAAGTAAAAATAAGTTGGAGGCAGCCATGAACTCCAAAGCTGAAGAGTCTGCTGCTGAGGAAAAGCATGCCCGGATTGAAGAGAACTATAGGAAGGTCGTTGACCATAATAAAGTTTATAACTCCATTATTCGTGACCTTGACGTCAGCCTTCATGCCGCTAGATCGGAGCAAAATAACCTTTTGACCGAGGTTGACCGCCTTAAGGAAGAGCTTCAGCGTTGAACGACTTCCCACATCATACTATATTATAAATGTGAAGACACTAAGTCAAAGTTAAAAGACTAAAATGACCATATAAAGCTGAATGGCTATTTTGCCCTTCAATTGAACATTACTTCTATAATATAGATATACAAAATTGTAAAACTACTTCATAATAAATACGACACTATCAAGAATCATAAAAATAATGGAATTAACCTCTTCTGCTACCGATCATTGTTAGACGTTTAACTTATAACATGGATTATAACATGTTAAGTGAATTCAAATTATAGTGCAAATGAAGAGACACTAATATAATTATCTATCTCATTATGTTCTTGGTCGAAAACGATTTCAAGTGTGTCCCTTTAGCTTGTGGGAGTATGTCCTCAAGATGGATTCCTTATGATAAATATTATAATGATTCAAGTTTTTAAAATATTAGTGAATTTTAATTTATTTGAATACTTTATTATGCATTTATTTTATTAAATATGCTCATTTTAGTTCAACAAATATTGGGCATGTTATGATGCTCTACAAAATAGTCCATATTCATTTTGACCTTTTCTATCAATTAATTTAAAAATCACTACTTAACATTTTAAAATTTTATATGTACTTTTAAATTCATTGTTTTGGCATGCAATTTTGCTATTACTTTTTCCATTGTCAAGTTAGCCAAACAAGATCAGTATACATCATTTAAAATTTTTGTATGTTGTTAGTTAAGTTTTATTTGATAACTCAAACATATATTTTTTTATGTGAAATTTAAATCTTATGTACTTATTGAAAAAGAGTACACGCGCGACGCGCGTGCCTAAAAATTAGTAGAACTTAAACTCATTAATTATAACATTGGATTAACCATAGGAAAAAGGATAGTATGTGTAAAAACGTAGAAAAGGGGACTAAAAGTGGGAACAATTTAAGTCAAAAGTTGATTTACAAATCTACCCATGAAAGGTTGAGTGTTAATTTTGCCCTTACAATCAAACACTATTCTATAGAATTTTTGTACAAAAAGATAAAAATATGGGTGATGCTAAACGGCCCAACTGCTGTGATCCAACTCTGGCCACACGCGTGAAAAGACATCAAAGACCCCCTAACTAATTAGCCTACATTTTTCCTCCAAAACACAAAATTAAATCCCAAGCCTTGAAGTATGCGAAAACTAAATGTAGCCAGCTGAAGAGTCTCTTGCATTATATTTGTATTTTCATTGTATTTATGTGTATTTTGTACAAATTATACAATTTAGTGTTTTTAACAAATTATTGTATTTTCTTCCTTTCCTAAAAACAAATAAGGTATACGATTTTGTATA